GATGCACCCCAACAAATACGTCAAAAGTCACAATACCAATCAAATAACAAAAGAAAAGGGAAGTGATTAATGCTTTCTCTATGCTGCAGATTCTTTAGTGGGCGTGGCCAGAAGAGGGGGCCAGGGTGACATGCATGTGTGTGTGTGTGCACAGAGTCAGAGTGCAAGTTCCTGTGTGTGCAGGTGTGTGCACATGCATGTGTGTGTGTGTGCACAGTCAGAGTGCAAGTTCCTTGTGTGCAGGTGTGTGTACATGCATGCATGTGTGTGTGTGCACAGAGTCAGAGTGCAAGTTCCTGTGTGTGCAGGTGTGTGTACATGCATGTGTGTGTGTGTGTGCGCACAGAGGCAGAGTGCAAGTTCCTGTGTGTGCAGGTGTGTGTACATGCATGTGTGTGTGTGTGCACAGAGGCAGAGTGCAAGTTCCTGTGTGTGCAGGTGTGTGTACATGCATGTGTGTGTGTATGTGCACAGTCAGAGTGCAAGTTCCTGTGTGTGCAGGTGTGTGTACATGCATGTGTGTGTGTATGTGCACAGTCAGAGTGCAAGTTCCTTGTGTGCAGGTGTGTGTACATGCATGCATGTGTGTGTGTATGTGCACAGTCAGAGTGCAAGTTCCTTGTGTGCAGGTGTGTGTACATGCATGCATGTGTGTGTGTGTGTGTGCACAGAGGCAGAGTTCAAGTTCCCGTGTGTGCAGGTGTGTGCACATGCATGTGTGTGTGTGTGTGCACAGAGGCAGAGTTCAAGTTCCCGTGTGTGCAGGTGTGTGCACATGCATGTGTGTGTGTGTGTGTGTGCGCACAGAGTCAGAGTGCAAGTTCCTGTGTGTGCAGGTGTGTGCACATGCATGTGTGTGTGTGTGCACAGAGGCAGAGTGCAAATTCCTGTGTGTGCACACAGAGGCTGAGGGCAACTTTGGATCTTGTTCTCATTGGCTGTCCATCTAGATGTTCGAGACAGGCTTTCACACTGGCCTGAAGCTCACCAGGTTGGCTAGACAGGCTGGCCATAAAACCCCTGGAAGCCCCCCCCCCCCGTCTGCCTCCCCAAGAGCAAGATTACACGCACACAACACATGCTTGGCATTTTTAGGTGGGTTCTTGGGGTCAGATTCAGTTCTCATGTTTGTGCAGTAAACATGGAGCCCCTGCGTGCCTGTGAGAGCCCTTCGGTGTGAGCAGGTGTTGAGCTTTGGTGAGGCACCAGATATGTCTAACTTTTTTTTTAACATTAGGGAACTTTTAATGTTTTTAAAGTGGTACTATTATACCTAAAGCAAGGAAATTATACTTGCGCCTAAATTTGTTACTGTCTACACAAGTTCCACTGACAAACTAAACTTTCCAAATTTGAGTGTGTGGGGCCACATTGCTTCCCTACGCGTAGGACAGACAAGGGTGGGATGAGCCTTCCTAGTAGATCACAGGCAGACTCCCCAGCCAGTCCTGGCCCCACAAAGAACTTTCTGTTAGAGAAAGAAGGGGAGAGGAGGGGGAGGGAGTCAGAGGAGAGAACGAAGGGATCCTTTTCTCAGCCAAGCAGACAGCTTTGAATTTAAAATAAGATCTGTGTTAAACAGTTTTGTCATGTGAGGGGACAAATCATACGGTTCTATCAGAAGGCAATTCTCCATCCCTGAGGCTAGCCAATGTTTCCCTACACTTCTGAACAGTTGGGCGTGCTGTTTCCAAAGCTGTCTGGTTTGGAAAATTAGATCTGTAATGTTAAGATAATAATTAAATCATTAATTTGAAATGTAAGCACGGGCATGTATATCTGTGAGAGAGACCGTTTCCCCCCTGAGTCAGTTAATTTTCCTTTCTCTGAAATGCTCTCACAGAAGCAGCTTGAGAGCGAAGGGTTTAATCTGGGTCACAGCCGGAGTGTACGGAGTGTTTAGTCCGTCATGGCAGGGAAGGGGCCAGGGCAGCTGGTCTCTTGCTCCACAAGTCAGGAAGGAGGCAGAGATGCATGCTGGTTCCTCACCCACTTCCTCCTTTTCATCCGGGCAAGGACCCAGGTCCTCCATGCAGTGATGCCACCTACAGTGAGAGTGGTCTTCCCGTCTCATTTCACCTAACCCGGGTAATCTCTCACAGGCATGCCCAGAGTCCAGTCTTCTAGGGGATCTAGAGGCCATTCTCACAGGCATGCCCAGAGACCAGTCTTCTAGGGGATCTAGAGGCCATTCTCACAGGCATGCCCAGAGACCAGGCTTCTAGGGGATCTAGAGGCCGTTCTCACAGGCATGCCCAGAGTCCAGTCTTCTAGGGGATCTAGAGGCCGTTCTCACAGGCATGCCCAGAGTCCAGGCTTCTAGGGGATCTAGAGGCCGTTCTGGATCCCGGGCACCCGATGAGTGTGGAGGCAGGGTATGTTTCTTTGTGTATATGCCCACTGGCATGCTGTCTATGCTCCACACCCATGCGTGTTACAGACAGCACTAACTAGACTCAGTGAGTTTTAAAGAAAACAAAGAAGAGAAATGAAGCGGGGTGGGGGGTTAGCAAGGAAATGGAGGGCTGGGTATGATCTTTATAATGTGCACATATACGATAGTCTCAGAAAATAAAGAATTACACAAAAGGCTGCATTTCAGCCACATGTAATAGCATTGTTTTGTAGTCATCTATAATAAAAATAATTAAAAGAATCTCAATAGTAGTAAAATAATGACAGGTTTCTGTGTAGCTGAACAAAACATTTTCTTTACACCCTTATAAGATATTTAATATCTGTTGTTTACTTTCCATTAAAAATGAAGGCAAAAACACATGGACTCAGGATTTTACAAGGCCAAGACCATCATTTTCTCCTACTTTACTTGAAAACCTCGTTCTATTAGGTGGTTTTCAAGGGTGATAACACGCACGGAGCTGCCATCAGCTCTGATATTGATGCCCTCTTTGGGAATCCCACCAAAGGGAGTCCTCCTGAATATGTTTTACAGTCAACTTTTCTTCAAAAATACACTCCAAAATACAATAAAGATGCAGCAAACAACAGCAACAGAGTCATTTATCACCCTCGGATGTTGTGTTAATTTCTTTTCTATTGCTGTGATAGAGCACCATGACCTAGGCGACTTCTGGAAGCGTTTGCTTTGATGCTCAGTTTCTGAAGACTGGAGTCCACCACAACAGGGCGGAGGCAGCAGGTAGGCATGGTAGCTGGGAAGGAAGCTGAGCACTCACATATGAATTGTAAGCATCAAACGGAAAGAGAAAACTGGAGTGGATCAAGGTTCTAACTCCTAAAGCCCGCCCTCACTGGCACACTCCCTCCAGCAAGGCTGTTGCTCATGAACCTCACAATGCCGCCAAATGGGGCCCGAGTGCTCAAACACGCCAGCCTCTGGGGGACATTCTCATTCAGACCACCTCAGGTATCATGTACAATTCACATCAGTATGATGGTGTTTTGTATGCCATCTTGCTCATGTCTGCATCATCCCAAGAGATGCTAAAATGCTATGATGGCTGTATCACTAGGTTATGGGGATTCTCCAGCTCTGTTTTCATCGTACAGGAACACACACTTGTAACATGGTAAAGGTTAACGTAAGGATGACTGACCGAATCATAACTGCTTCTCTTTCCTACTTCTGCCCTGCTTTCCAGAAATGTCCACCCAGATATTTGACTCTGGTGCCAAAGATGTCTTTCTTTTAGCTTCATGCCAGCGTATCCTATTTTTGAAGCTTTGTCTTTAGTGTGTGTGTGTGTGTGTGTGTGTGTGTGTACATGCGTGTGCATGCACATGTAGGCGGGTCTCAGCCTGAGTTCATGTGTACCACATGCCACATGTGTGCAGGCACCTGTAGGACCAGCAAAGGGTGTCAGATCCTATGGTGCTGGAGGTAGAGTTGGTTGAGAGTTGGTTGCTGCTATGTGGGTGGTGAGAACTGAACCCAAGCCCTCTGCAAGATCAATAAGCTCTCTTATCCCCCAAGCCGTCTCTCCAGCCATGAGTGGGTTCTACTGAACCAATAGTACTACTACGCTGATTATTGAGGTTCATTTTCCCGTTTGTGTTATCTATATAGTTTTGTTAAAAATCAACAGACAGACTCTAGGTTCTTTGCGTTGGCATATGAGTTTGTTAAATTAAAAACAACCCAGCCCTTTGGAATTTCCATTAGGGCTGGATCCAAACTATAAATGAACTGTGCAAAACCAGAGATCTTTAACAATATTGAGTCTTTGCAACTCATGAACACAGCTGAATTTTCCATTAACTTTGATTGTCCCAAAGACAAGAATGGACACCTGTCAGCACATAATACGACCCATAATTCACATGGATCATATTAATACTGATTAATATTAATTAAGTAGTTAATACACACTATTCCTTTCATTGGAGAGATTAGACATGAGAGGAAGAGAGAGTAAATGATTTCTTACAAGCAAGCAGGTAAGTGACATAGAAGGGAATTTGGGCCTCATTGAACTAACAGTAAAGCCTAACTTTTTTCATTCACTACTAGACACAGCTCAGTTGCATCAGGGCTGAGGAAGGGTCACCCCTCATTTCTGCAAACCTCCCCACAATTCAGATCATTTCTGAACAATTGTGTGTTTCAAATTCTTGCTACATTGATAATAACTTCGGCTGCACCAAGGAAGAAGACAGTGTTAAACTGTGCAGAGACATAAGGGCATTAGTAATTAAATTATACTTCCAAATTGCACTTGAGAATAGAGTGTGCCAATTATATCCTCTCAACAGCTAGCTTGTCTGTCACACTCGGGATTTGGGGATTTGGATTAATGAACAGCATAAACTTTTTGCCCTCCATTGCAAAACAAGAGTAAAAATACTTCCCCCCACAAAAAGACACAATAAAGGGTAATTCCAGTTATACATTGTGCAAATTGGTTTAGGAGTTGAAAAAAAAAGTTTCCAGAATGGTCGGTCTGCTCTGGATGTAGTTTGTGGGATACCCTGTTGGGGAGATCTACTTACTTTACAACTTTAAAACGTATTTGTTTTTTCAAAGGAGAGCATGCACACAGTCCCCCACTACCACAAATTATGAATTGAGTTTCCCACGTTTGGGGAAATCGCAGGGGTCAGGACATCCAGAGTGTACTGGATAAGCCTCATCCTGGGAAAACCAGCTTCGTGATCATGGAATCTCCCCTGCGGGGTAAGTATTCATGCCCCACGATAATGAAAATAAGGTGATAAATGAAAACAAATCTCAGGTGGTTGTAGTTAAAGTTAGCCAAAGTTCCTGCTGTCAATCAATGTTAAATGTCTCAGAGGGATTCGTGAAGAAGGGGCTGCAGTTTAAAAGTCTGCTCCCAAGCATTTGCTGTAAGGGTGTATTTTATTTTTGTGGACAAGTGTTTTGACTATGTGTTTATGTGTGCACCCCACGTATCTACCTGGTGTTCTCAGAGGCCAGGAGAGGACACCTGGTCTGCTGGAACTGGAATTGCAGATGGTTGTAAGCCATCATGTAGATTCAAACTTGGAGCCTCCGCTAGAGCAGCAAGTGTGCCTAATGTCTGGAGGTTTTCCTCCAGTCTGGCACTTTTGAAAAATACATGTTTGGTGGCTGAGAGATGGCTCAGCAGCTGAGAACACTGACTGCTTTTCCAGAGGACCCAGCACCCACATGGCAGCTCACAACTGTCTGTAACTCCAAGATTTGACATGCTAACACAGACATACATGCAGACAAAACACCAATGCACATAAAAGTTAAAAAGGAAATTGCATGTATGGGCATATGCACCTAAGTGTGGCATGCTGGTACACATGCATGCTTGTGGTGGCCAGAGGACTGCCTATGATGTGTTGTACTGAGAATTCAGTGGGACAAGGACTCTCATTGGCCTGGAGCTCACCAATTAGACTAGACAGGCTGGCCAATGAACTCAGGGATCTCTCTGTCTCTCACCTCCTGCAGGACTAGGATTGTGGGTGCCACATGGATTTGGGGGATTGACTCAGTTCCTCAAGAGTGCAAGCTTCTTTCTTCCTTCCTTTCCTTCTTTTCTTTCCTTTTTTCTTCTTTTTTTCTTTTTTGTTTGTTTTTTCGAGACAGGGTTTCTCTGTATTGTTTTGGAGCTTGTCCTGGAACTAGCTCTGTAGACCAGGCTGGCCTCGAACTCACAGAAATCCGCTTGCCTCTGCCTCCCGAGTGCTGGAATTAGAGGCGTGCACCACCAATGCTGGCTGGCAAATGTTTTTCTAAGCAAACTACCTTTCAGCCTTGTTGTATTCACATTGCACCTCAGGGCTCCCCAGGGCTCTTTCTGTCCTCTGGTTTGGGGAGAGTCAACAGCCCTTCATTTCCCGTCCTTTGATAGATGATCCAGGGCTCCGGATGGATTCCTTGTAATCTCTGTGTTCACATTGTCTGCAAAGGTGAGTATTGCGGGTCTGGGAGCCAGGTTACTGCAGGGGAGCCTCCGTGTGTATCCCACACAGCCTTTACAGCTCCATGCCACCTGTTGGAATGGTCCCCTCGTGATCCACCTGCCAGCTACTTTCCAGCTCCCGGGGAAAGCCCAGGATGGGAGCGCAGGGAATAGGCTGCTGGGGGCGTGGTGGGAGAGAGAGCCGGCACCACAGCCACACTCCTCCCCACCTGTCTCAGAGAAAGGCCGCCCCACAAAGGGCGTGGCAGGGAACCCGAGCCTTGGGGAGGAGGGTCACGAGTCTGGGCCCCGAGGAGGGCAGACGGCTGGAGCTGGAGCCTGCCGGGCTCAGAGGAGCCGAGGGTAACCCTGCGCTGATGTGTGGCTTCCTTCTGCGGCTAGCAGGACCTGACTCCTCCCCGCGGGTCCCCGCCGTTCCGCCCGTGGCCCCTCGGCGCACCTTGGGCCTCAGGTGAGCCTAGCCCAGCGCTGCCCCGGGGCATCAGGTGTCGTGGGAACGTCGTCACTTCGCCGGTGGCGCTCGTTCGCTCGGGGAGGGAGCCCGATGGCTCCAGCCGCTGGTGACACAAAGCGGGAGGGTAGGGGCCCAGGACACCTGCGCCAGCCATGGAGGGCACCCAGAGGGTAGAAGAGTGCGAGATGCACCGGTTTGGCCTCACTGGGGCTCCACCACGGACCGCAGGTCAGTGGGGCTTGTGACTGGGGTGGAGACACCCTCTGTGTCAGTCAGCTCGGCAAGGTTTGGAGGTGACAACGGAGTCCTGCCTGTCGATGCTAGCTGCGCTTTTGCAGGAGGCAGGTGAGGATGCAGCGCAGGCTGCCCCTGGAGCCCAGAGCGCTCGCTCGCTCGTTCTCTGCTTGAGGTCAACTGGACTCCCACCAGGGTCTCAGAGGCCATCCTGGAGTGGTTTCGTGTCTGCTCTTAACTTGGGCCCGTCCTTTGTAAAGGCTGTGCCCAGGGGTAGAAATGGGGGCAACCGCAGGGGCTCTGCGCTAGTCTGGATTCCAGCAGGTTGCAGAAGCCAAGATCACAGGGTGTGGTGTCTGGAAGGCAGCAGGCCAGACTTGGCTTTCTAGCTAGGAACCAGCACCACAGAGGCATGGAAGAAGAAAGAGGGGGGAGGAGGGAGGGCAGAGAGAATAGAACCGGGGTCTCATTTTGCCGGAGCAAAAGCTAAGGCTCAGTGTGGACCTAGTGAGCTGCCCCGAGTCATAGAACCAGAGAGGGAGGGAGGGAGGAAAGTGAGGAGGGGTCTCATGATGCGGAGCAGCTCTGAAGAAGGAGGTTGTGGCAGCTTGTGGTGCTCTCTCCAATTACACATTCGCTCTCTGCCGCTGCATTTCTGCAGTTCAATCCAATGTAGCCCCTGACTGCTGCGAATAAAAGATCTGTCTAGGGCTAGCACCCTGACACCTGAGGTTCCCTGTGCAGGCCTTGACATCAGCTGCTGTCAATACCTGGCCAGCCAACGTGGCTCCCCGTGGTCTGTAAGCTTAGCAGCCAGTCCAGAAGGAAAGCCGGGCTTCCGAACAACTTGAGCAGTGTTTTGAATAAATTAATGGTGGTTGGCTGTCTTCTCTTGGCTCCTGTAGGTTACTGTTACATGGTGCATGGCCAGTGTGTTTAAAGTTTAATTTCCTCTGTATCATACATGGGAACGGGCTCGGTGGGACTTCAGTAGTTCACAGAACACTTAACTGTCAACGAATTCATTATTGTAGTTACTGATACATAGCAATCGGCAGAAACTGTTTTAAGTCTCTCCTAGTTAGGGTTTCTGTTGCTGTGATAAAACACCATTACCAAAAGTAACTCAGGGAGGAAAGAGTTTATTTCAGCTTACAACTCTCAGGCCACAGTCCAACACTGTGGGAAGTCGGGGCAGAGGCTGGGGACATGAACTAAAGCAGAGGCCACGGTGAAACGCTGCTGGTTGATTTGTCCTTAGGGTTTGCTCGCCTGCCTTCCTTCCTTTTTCCTTCCTTCCTTCCTTCCTTCCATCCTTCCTTCTTCCCTTTCTCCCTTCATATCTACCCTTTGCCCTTGCAACCCTCCGCTCCCCCCAAAAGAAATTTAAGAGAGGAGAAAGAAAAAAGAGAGAAGGAAAAAATCAGTCTCATCATTGGAAGCTGTAGTGTGACAGTGAGTCGTGCAGTAAATCCTTTTGTCCACATATCTTCACCGGTTCAAGGCCTCTGCTTCTGCTGCACTGTTGATGTTGGGACCCCACTGGAGCTCCTCTTGGTTATTCTGTTGTTGCCCTGTGTTGTGGAGATCCTGCAGCTTTGGGTCTGCAGACTGGTCCCTCCCTTGCTCCAGCAGATCACAGATGAGGTGGATGTTGCAATTGGCCTACTTATAATCTTGGCTCTGGGCTTGGGCAGCTGCAGGGTTGGTCAGCCCGCCAGCCCTCCCTTGTCCTCACCGCCAGGGTGAGCTCTCCTGCATTGCCTTGGAGATAACACCCCTGGAAGCAATGAGCAAGGGGCGGGGCCAGTTGCGCCTCTATCCGCAGGGTTGGGTCTCCCACACCTACACCTTCAGGATCAGCTCTGTTGTGTGCCTGGGGTAGGGGCCCCTCTGTGCTGCTGATGAGAGGCGGGGCCAGCTCTTGAACTCATGACCTCAGGGCCAGCTCTCCCACCTGCCTCGGGTGTTGATGGGGGGAACCCCCCCCCAGCCTGTGCACCACATGACCCACCAGCAATGGGAACAGCTCTCCCATGCTCCCGCGGGGGCTCACCCACACCTCTGCCAGCGGGATTGGCTCTATTGTGCTGCCCGGGTGAGGAGGAGGGCCTGCTTGCCTGCTGCAGCTGGTGGGGGGCAGGGCCAGCTCTCCGGCCCTTCTGACCTCAGGGTCAGCTTCCTGCTCAAGCCACACAGGGCAGAGGAGTAACGGGAGATCAGCCTGCTTTCCTCCCTCCCTCCCTCCCTCCCTCCCTCCCTCCCTCCCTCTCTCTCTCTCTCTCTCTCTCTCTCTCTCTCTCTCTCTCTCTCTCTCTCTCTCAGTCTGCTAGCTCTGTTTTCCCCTCCTTTTTTTATTTAAATTTGAAACAAGGTTGTATTACATGTCAATCCCAGTTCCCTCACCCTCCCATCCTCCCCTAGCACCCCCACCAAACCCCAGCCCACACCCTTTCTGCTTTCTTATATCACCTAGGACCATCCATCTACCCAGGGATGGCCACCCCCTCCCCCAAGCGGGCTGAGCCTCCTACCTTAATATTAAGAAAAGGCCCCGAGCACACCTACAGGACAATTTTTATAGGGGTGTTCTTTTGCAGTTATGATTCCCTCTTCCACGGTATGGGTATGACTGGACTGTGTCAAGATGACGACAACCAACCCACAAAGTCCCACAGCCATACAAGAGAAAGAAGCCATCACTTCTTAGGATTTTTCACTCGAGAATACCCTACCTTCTTCAGAAGAGTAGACGAGCAGAGCAATTAGAGCTCTTGTCTCCCCTGGACAAGGCTGCGGGCTCAACCCCAGCACGGCGAAAGCAAACACATGCTGTCTCAAACACCCTCTGCTCTTTAAAATTAGTTTTTCATGCTCCTTTCTCTCCGTTATGTCTTTACCCAAGAATTGCTATACACACCCATCTTTTGAGGGACCGTGTGACAGTGGAGGCAACCACACGTCAATGCATGCCCGTGTGGTTTTCTGTGGAAGGAACTGACTGCATTTGTGGCATAGTAATGTTTTATGCATTATTGCCTTCACTCAGCAGTGGCCTTATTAATCTTTCCATTACT